AGAACATCGTCGTTTTGACTCATGCATTCTCATTTTCATATTTTGGGTCTTTTTGTAAAAAATATCCATAGCAAATAATGTACAAACAAGCAAAAACAACGTCTTTTTCCATACTGAAACAAATATACGTAAACCATACACAATCTATGCCATAGCTTGATGTGGAGGTATCAACCCTTCTAGCTTTTATAGTGGTCTGTGTTTGGATCTCTTAAGGCTTGGAATGGGCCTCCATGACTGTAGTGCCTGACTGCATTGGTCAATGGTTTCTAGAATACCTGAAAACTCCGGACAAGCAATGGAAAGGGGATTTTTCTTCTAAAAATGTACTGGAATTAGCAGTTGAAGTCATTTTGGAAAATTCCCATATTAGAATAGAACTACATGTTGTTTACAGTAACCTAAACTCTAAAATGACCGTAAAACTATGGTTTAAACATTTTACAGTCCAAATTATTTAAGTTCTGACAAAAATGAAAATGATAAACCTCACGTTAAAGGCTAATAAATGATTATATACGTTATGGGAAAGCAGAAATACAGCGGTTAGGGAAGCCTATGTGTTTATAATCACTACTTTATTAGTAGGACAAAGGTAAGACAAAAAAAGAAAGGTGACGAGTTTGCAGGTATGTTGTAGGGAAAACAGAGCAGCATAAAAAAAGCTGTATTGAGTAAAAGTGTTACTTCAACCAAAAATGAATATTCTGTCATTATTTACTCACACTCATGTCGTTCCAAAACCATAGGACTTTCTTTTTTCTGTGGAACCAAAAAGAGTACTACACCATAAATGTAGTTCATGTATAAATTTAACTCAATGCTCACAGAAAACTGTACCTATAACTCTCAAATCTCATGTACAGTATCTTCAAGATCTTTAATTCAAGTGATTTAAATGTCTCTGTTTCTCAAACAAATCAATCCGGCATCTTCAGAACAATTAAAAAATATTGTATATATTGAATATCTCATACGGACCACTTTTACCGTCCTTTTTCGTTCTTTTTTGCAGCTTTGCAGCCCTCTCTTCACTGTACGGAAAGGAGCTGCATGAACATTCCACTAAACTTCTCCGTTTGTGTTCTACGGAAGACTGAAAGTCCTACAGGTTTGGAAGAACATGAGGGTGAGGAAATAACGACAGAAATGTTCATTTTTGGGTGAACTATCACTTTAAAGGAACACTCCACTATTTCTGAAAATAGGCTCATTTTCCAACTCCCCTAGAGTTAAACAGTTGAGTTTTACCGTTTTCGAATCCATTCAGCCGATCTCCGGGTCTGGTGGTAGCACTTTTAGCTGTAGCTTAGCATAGATCATTCAATCCGATTAGACCGTTAGCATCTCGCTCAAAAACAACCAAAGAGTTTCTATATTTTTCCTATTTAAAACTTGACTCTTCTGTAGTTACATCGTGTACTAAGACCGACGGAAAATGAAAAGTTGCGATTTTCTAGGCCGATATGGCTAGGAACTATATAATACAATATCATTGCGCCTGCTGCATCCATGGTACGGCAGCAAAGTTCCTTGATTATTACGCCGGAATGAGAGTATAGTTCCTAGCCATATCGGCCTAGAAAATCGCAACTTTTCATTTTCCGTCGGTCTTAGTACACGATGTAACTACAGAAGAGTCAAGTTTTAAATAAGAAAAATATCAGAACTCTTTGGTCATTTTTGAGAGAGATGCTACCGGTCTAATCAGATTCAATGATCTATGCTAAGCTACAGCTAAAAGTGCTACCACCAGACCCGGAGATCGGCTGAATGGATTCGAAAACGGTAAAACTCAACTGTTTAACTCTAGGGGAGTTGGAAAATGAGCCTATTTTCAAAAATAGTGGAGTGTTCCTTTAAATAGACTCTTTTCTGTGCATTCGGGCATTCAAGAGATGGACTCCTCATAAACATCTGCTCCTATAACAGGGTGTAGGGTGTGATCACATCACATGCTCCCCGTTTGCTTGTGACAGTGAGGAAGGCAAATATTACAACAGCATGAGTAAGTGTCATTTTCTCTCTAGCTAGCAGTAAGGTACGACTTGCAACAAGGACAAGGGGTAAGTTTGGAAGGCCTAAATCAGAAAACACAGTTTATATGCTGGAACCATCCATTTTGCATTATGACAGAGCAGAGCACGAGGAAATTCACTTCACTTGTTAAAGCCATATTGCTTGTTTTGGTGTACAAATCTGATCAAGCTTCACAACATCTACAGTACTTGAAATGCCTGCATGAACACTCAATGTACTCACATTTATTCACCAATACTACAGAGTTCTTGGGTTGTGGACATCAAACCATCCAACTAGGATTATTCTGACTGATTCTAGATCAGCTTTTAGTAAGAGCTACTTAGGCTTTTGCTCTGGTTACACCTGATCCGTTTGGATCTCCAGCTCCACCTGTTGGCAGAGAGGTGCGCTGACTCGAACCAGCGAGTCATTACCACCGCAATGGCTTATCCTGACCCATCCTTCAGTTCAGTGAACTCTTAGAAGCCCCTGAGGTCACCTAAACGCATGCGTACAAGCAGACAAATATACATAAACACTCGCACGAACATTTAAAGGTAAACATTTCCTTCAGAAACCCCCACACAGAGCAAAGAAGATAAGGCAGAGTGGCAGACTCAGGCTGTTTCATCCAAAAACACAGATGACCTGTGTCCGTACCTTAAAACTATGAAATCTAAAAGCAGGAAGATACAGTGCTTGACTATGAACATCACAGACCAGTCAGAAGAACAAAGGACAGTTCTTCACCTCATTGTAACATAAGGAAGTGAAGTATATGAAGAATTTTTTTTTACCTATACAGCATATGGTAACATCTCAATCTAAATAAAAGTTGACTGAAATTAATTCTAGTGTTGAAATAACATTACGCCAACAGGCTAGAACAAGAACTCGGATAGCGTGTGGTTTTGAGAATGACCACAAACCTTCTGAAACAAAAGAATGTACTAGAGGCAGTGAGAGCCAACGAGTAAATAATTTAAATGCAAATAAAGTTGTTTGTTTTTCTGTTTTTTTAAAGAGCTTGAAATATTGATGCAGCATGCACTGGAATGATCGGAGTCCTGAAAAACACATCATGAAAGATGGACGGACACCTATTACAAGTCTACTGAAAAAAAAAGCATAAACAGTGTTTTGTCAGGGTGGACCTCTTCTACCCATTTGAACACGTCTGCCGGGCCGGGGCGGTGCAGTGTGTGCTGTGAGGTGTGTGTGTGTGTGTGTGTGTGTGTGTGTGAATGTAGTGGTGCTGATGGAGATGGATGTGGTGGGAATGCTGGTGCTACTCCCTCTTGTCTGCTGCTTTGGACTGTTCTCTCTGGATCATGCAGCGGCGGACGATGCTGTCAAAGCTGCCC